CACCCAGAAAGCTCTTTTTCCTGATTGTTAGCTTCTATGGATGCTAGACTGCTCCAAATTGGAGGCATTTAAAATCTATTATCTGGAGGAGCGGGAGGAAAGCTCTAGTTGATACCTTCTGCTGGAGCACCCCTCCTAGCCACAAATTGCTCACTTTAAACCCTGCATTAGGCGGGTGCCGCTTTGCCGACTGGGCTCTTGGGTTTTTATTCTACTCTGTGTATGTGCCCTTTATGCCTGTAAAGTCGGGTTTTGTTTTGTGACTATGTAAATTGGAGCCAAGGGAGTTTTCTTTTTTCTCTGTGACTGGAACCATGGTGAGGCATTCCAGCACTTTCTATGCCTCTGTGCTGCGTGGGCAGAAAACAAGGCAGAGGGAGCTCTTGAATGCACTTTACACCTGGCTTAAACCAGAGCTTTGATTCCTCCCTCCTCTTCATCACCATTGGGCTGAAGTGAAAGCAGGATTCACAAGAGTTGTTAAAAAACAAAACCACAAACAAAAACACAACTGTTAGAAGATGCTTGCATTTTAACATTTCAGATTATGGCTGAAATGATCACCCAGGACTCCTGGAATATGGTGGAATGCTGGATGATCTTTTGGTTAGGGCAGGTTTTCTGTCCTTTGCTTAACACATCTCTGTCTGGTGGCTCATTTTAAAAGCCAATGAGGTATTTTCTTCACAAAACCAGATCTAATGCATTAGGTCAAAGGATATCACCGCTCAGAGGAGTTTGGGGCGGAATTAGTATAGTCCTTTCACTTTCTAACAAGGCACCTTTGTTGCAGGTTTTGCGAGGCTTCAAAGTAATATTGGGAAGTATGTGACAGAGACCCTGGTGTCTAGAAAGATCAAGTAGCAAATGTGTGAGAAAGATGGAAGACAGGGCCTATCACCATGGTGCCGTGGCAGGTGGACCACTGGGCCCAGGGCTCACAGTCACAATTTTGCCTTCTGAAGTCACCTCCAAAAAAGATTGTATATGCAATTTACAGAAACAAATCAAGAGGTGGAAAGTCAGTGTCATGCCATGAAAATCTAATGCAACCAGATCTAATGTTCTTGATTGGAAAAGCCTTCCCTTCTTACACATTTATTCCACCAACATTTAACTGAGCTCCTACTGTGTGCTTATGTGCATACAAAACTGTCATTGCTCTTAAGTGGCTGGCAATTGAGGTGGGGGGACATGACAAAGAAGACAGATGCAACACCGCCTCCAGGTGGCACTCAGCTGCTTCTTGAAGGACAGGTAGCTCTTGGCCAGATGATGAGGGCAAGCAGGTAGGATTTTTAAAAATAGAGTCTATTTTTAAAATTATTTTATCTATTTAGTTTCAAGCTTTTATTTAAATTCCGGTTAGCTAACATGCAATATAATATTAGTTTCAGGCATAGAAATTAGTGATTCGTCACTTCCATACAACACCCAGTGCTCATCACAAGTGCCCTCCTTAATCCCCACCACCTATGTAACCCATTCCCCCCCCCCCCGCGCACCTCCCCTTAAAACAGATGTTTTTTAGAGCAGTTTTAGGTTCACAGCAAAAGTGAGTGTAAGCTAGAGAGATTTCCCTGTATGCCTCTGATCCCCCCCACAAGAATCTCTCCTATCATCAACATCTCCCACCAGAGTGGTAATTTGTTACAATTGATGACTCAACCTACACTGATGCATCATTGTCATCCAGAGTCCATAGTTTACATTAGATGTTGTACATTGTATAGGTTGGACAAATGTGTAATGCAACGTGCCCATCGTTTATGATATCATAGAGTAGTCTCACTCCTGGAAAAATCCTCTGTGCTCTCTCCTTTCCCTTGCCTACATCCCTGTCCCTGGCAACCAGTGATCCTTCTACTGTCTCCAAAGTCCGTGTTTTCCGGAATGTCATATACAGTTGGAATCATACAGTATACAGCTTTTTCATATTGGCTTCTTTCACCTAATAGTATGCATTTAAGGTTCCTTCATGTCTTTTCACAGTTTGATAATTCATTTCCTTTTAGCACTGAATAGCATTTCACTGTCTGGATAGACCACAGTTTAGTATTCATTCACCAACCGAAGGACATATTGGTTGCTTCCAAGTTTTGGCAGGAATAGGCATTTTAAGTAGATAGAGTAGAATTGTAAAGGCACGAAGGGATGAGTGCAAAGTCCTTTGGAAACCTGCAAGTGACATATAGAGTGTGGGGAGATGTTGCATAAGCAGTAACCGAGAAAGCTCATCCTTTATTTGGAGCATCATTCCAAAACCACAGTGTGGATCCTATTACTCTGGTGACATTTCCACCATTATAATGTGTCTCCTTGTATATCTTTCCTGGAAACAGAAACAGGGATGTCCTATTTACATATGATTCACAAGTTTATTTGGTTAATTTTATAATCTTACCTAAAAACCAAAAAGCTTCTATTAGGATGATCTTAAGTTGTGGGCTATGTTATGAAAATCAAGTCAAGGGATAGAGTAACTTGTGGGTTTGAGTACAGTTTGGCCTTCTTATGACTCAGGGGATTGCGTGGTTTTGGCTTTTGGTGAGAGCCCCACTGCATATTTTGGACAGGAGCCTGACTTGGGAGGTTGTTGTTGGTGGTACTGGTGGCAATCCAATTCACCTGATGCCGATGAGCCACTCTTCATTTAGAAATAAACGAAATAATAAAGGAGTCACTCTGAAAGCATAGTCTACAGCCTCATTAACAGCAAAACAATTACTGTTCCTGTTCAATACTTTATGAACTAAGTGTGGTTGACATGATAGATGTAATTATGCCTTTAGCATGTCTGTGATCAATCGGATCAATATTTCACTTGAAGAATCGAAAGGCACCTCTTTTTCCCTCTGACAGACTTTATTTTATCTCTTAATATAACAAACATTGGTTGATCTTTAATATTCTCTCTTGAACACACTTCAATTACTGATAAACTCAATCAGCATCTGTCCCTAAGAAACTCAAGTCTTTGTAGCTTGGAGATGTGGCGTTTTATTTCATTTGTGAAAGCACTTCAAAAACTATAAGGTGTTACATTAATGCTAGATATAATTATTCTACTTTTTATCTACTCTCCGCTTTTTAGGACAACAAAGCAGCTTGATGTAGAGATTTCTGTCTTCTACTATGGAACTATTAAGAAATCCTGTTGTACAGATATTCAAACCTATGGCTCAATAATCCCAAACTAAGGGATGAATTTTATTATTTTATTATTTTTTAAAGACTTTATTTATTTATTTGACACACACACAGAGGGAGAGAGACAGAGAGAGAGAGAGAGACAGAGAGACAGAGAGCAAGCACACGTAGGCAGAGGGAGAGGGAGAGGGAGAAGCAGACTCCCGGATGAGCAGGGAGCCTGATGTGGGGCTCGGTCCCAGGACCCTGGGATCATGACCTGAGCCAAAGGCAGATGCTCAATTGACTGAGCCACCCAGGCACCCCAGGGATGAATTTTAAATAAGTAATTCTGCAGGATTAAAGTGTCCCTGCTTCACTGCTTGGTCATTGTGGTGTTATTTTCAATAGGAGAGGAAACTCAACTAAAATAAGCAATCAGTGTGGAAATCTAAATATATAACATTATGGAAGTTCATATTAAGAAAATCTTATTGGCATTCATAATTAGCCATATACAGAAGTGCATTAGAAAATATATCTAAATATTTAACATTATAGAAATACTTTAGTAACCAAATATTTGAGGAAATATTATGCTAGCATTAATATGGTAGTTGGGAAGGTTGGTATAGAAAGGTGGAAAGATGCTTGCTTACAACAGATCATGTGAAAGAGCAGAATGCAGACTGACCCATGTACTCAAACATGAAAAATGAACAAGCTTGCAGAAAGAAAACTATGACATTAAAATTTGGAGAGGGCTAGGGAGATGGAATTTACTGTGCTATTCTTTTTTTACTGAAATATTTCTTAATATTAATGTGCTATCTTATCAATGATTTTAAAATTAAAGCCCTTTAGTCCTTCAATACAAAGAGTGTCAAAGGGGCACCTGAGCGGCTCAGTGGTGGAGCGTCTGCCTTTGGCTCAAGTAGTGATCCCAGGGTCCCAGGATTGAGTCCACATCCAGCTCCTCTAGGGGAGCCTGCTTCTCCCACTGCCTATGTCTCTGCCTCTCTGTGTGTATCTCTCGTGAGTAAATAAATACAATCTTAACAACAACAACAACAACCAAAGAGTTTCAGAAAATTTCATTTTAGGGCAAACCTGAAAAGAAACTATTTCTCATAGGGTCACTGAGGGCATCATCACATTCAAAGCATATTTATTGGATATTCTTGATTTGTGGCTAAGGGTAATTAAATACTTGCCCTCTAATGGCTTAAAGTTGGAAAAAGACAATTTTGATTTAGTTTTTGTTGCTATTGCTAATGTCCCTCTTTTTGAAGATAGTAATATGTAAAATACCCAAGGTAAAACACTTATACAATTACAGTGTGGAGTGTGACCAAAATGCGTAATGTGGTCAACTCTTCCTAACCTTACCTTTGCAGCTTACAGCTATTCATTAGGTTCTGGAGGGCAGAGTGGTGTAGGATTTGCAAGCCTGGACTTTGCAATGGAAAGAACTAGATAATTTGAGGTTCTTCCACACACCAGCTTGGGCACGTTCATTTCCTTGTTTTCTTCATCTACTAAGTGGGGATAATAATACTACTTCAGAGGCGCCTGGGTGGCTCAATCGGTTAAGCATTTGCCTTGGGCTCAGTTCCTCTTCTCAGGGTCCTGGGATCGAGCCCCTCGTCCAGCTCCCTGCTCAACCGAGGAGTCTGCTTCTCCTTCTACTTCAGCCCCCACCCCTCCATCCGCTCATGTTATCTCTCTCAAACAAGTGAAAAATAAAATCTTAAAAAAATAAAAAGAATACTACTGCATAATGTTCTTTGGATTATGAAATACTCATAATAATGTGTCATGTAGCACAAGTGTATGGTGTGTAAAGTGCTATTATCATTACTATTTTCCAGGACTGATTCGGGTGCTATAGGTATTGATCTTGGTGCTAAGGATGAAGAAAGAAATGCAAGAAAAATTGGCCTTTAGAGAGATTTCCACCTGCTTAAGAGACAAGCCATGTTTCCATGCAATCACTGGGAAAATACATAGTAAGTAAAAGCTAAAGGGGTGATAAAAGTATACATCATTGCTCCTAAGACAGAATTTATCATGCTTCATGTCCATGTTCCTGGGATGCATCTAATAATTGATAATGACTTATTTAATAATTGGTAGCATCATTTCATTTTTCAGTTGTGTATAAAATAATGGTGCATTTTGTAAACTGATGGTGTCTTGGATTCAATGACCTATGGTAGCCAGTAGTAATATGTAACATTTTAAGACATTTGCCAAAGTCTAGATAAAGAATGGAATTTAGCATTCCTGTGTGTGGAATGCAAAATTGTACAACCACTTTGGAAAACAGTTAATTCTTAAAAAGTTAAACATATGTGTAGCATGTGACTCCTTTGTTTATTTCTATAACGTTCTAGAAAATGCAAACTAGTCTATAGAAACAGAAAGCAGATCATTAGTGGCCTAGGTAGGGACAAGGAGAGGCATGATGAAAGTTTTGGAGGTGATAAAAATTTTCCTTATCTTGACTATGGTGATGACTTCACAGGTGTACAGATTAAGTAAAACGTCACACGGTATGCTTTATGTATAGTTGCATCTATAGTGCTTCAATAAATTGTTTTTATTTATTTTTAGTTTTAAAAAAGATTTATTTATTTATTTTAGAGAGAGAAGGAGAGTGACAGTGTGGAGAAGAGAACCTCCCATAGACTCCCTGCTGATGATGGAAGCCCAAAGTCGGGCTCCATCTCACAACCCTGAGATCAAGATCTGAGCTGGAACCAAGAGTCAGATGCTTGACCAACTGAGCCACCCAAGTGCCCTGAAATTGTTTTTAGAAAGAAAAAAAAAAGAATGGAATGGGTTGTAAACATCATCAAACATAATCCTGAGGAGAAGCTCTGTGGATTTGGAAAATGGGAAAATCACTGGAGAAATCAATGAATCTTAAGGCAGTGAAGTTATAAAGGACTCCCAAGGCCTGACTTGAGCTAAATTGCTAAATGAGAAGAGTCTGTTTAAATAAGCCCTGGAAAGGCGGGATGGGGATTCCAGGAAGAGAGATGCTGCCCATGTGATAACCTGCTTGGAAAAGCTGTGGTCATTACCTGCATGACCACTCTGGTTATTTATACTTTATTAGAACCTCTCCCATCTTGACTGTATTCCTTCAAAGGGAGGACCTGCCAGAGATTTTCTTTAGTGCGATTTCTTCTCATCCATTTTGCTTTTGAATTTTAATTGCTTAAAGCAGAATTTCTCAACCTTGGCACTATTGACATTTTGGGTAAGATAATTCTTTGTTGTGGGTGGCTTTGCTGTGCATTGTGGGATATTTAGCATCATTCTGGGCCTCTACCCACCAGATGCTGGTAACACCTCCCCGTTGTGACAAAAAAATTGTCTCCAGACATTGCCAAGTGTCCCTTGGAGCGTGGGGGGCAAAATTACCCCTAGTTAAGAACCACTGGCTGAAAGAAAGGCGCATATCTGCCTTTCTTCTCTTTTCTTGTGTGTGTGTGTGTGTGTGTGTGTGTGTGTGTGTGCGTGCGTAAGGAACAACTTTCACAAACTTTATAATTTTTTTAACAACTCTTCTATCTTGCTGTGAAGTCTAGCTAGTAGACCACAATGATGCCATTGTGTGTAAGTTTAACAAGCAGCTGCTCACTTGCCGCTTTGCTAACAATTCTGAAGTTTGAAGGGGTAGGGGGACTGGTGCCTGGGGAGCACATTTTTAAAAATTTTACTTTTGAAATAATTTTATGTTCCTGTATATCTGCCTCCCAACTTCCTCTAATGTTGACATCTTACATAGCTGTGATACATTTATCAAGACTAAGATCTTAGCAACAATTGATGCAATATTATTATCTAAACTACAGACTTTATTTGGATTTGTTCAGTTTTCCTACAAACCTTTTTCTTTTCCAGGGTCCAACACAGATTGCTTGTGGCATTTAGAAAGAGCATAGCTCTTTTTTTAATGGAAAGAATATCACATATTCCTAGAAAATTGCCGATTCTCAGATGATGACAGAGAGCAGAATTTTCTAAGCAAAGACCTCTCTGCATTAGCATCCACTGAACTAAAATATTCCTTTATTTCTGCTTAAAGTAGAAAGTGGAATCAACACTTGCCAAGGCAAAAACAGCTATGACAGTTCATATTTTCTAAATTTCGAAAAAAAAAGTAGCCTAAAGATGGCTTTTGTCTTGACTCTCGGTCTACACCACCCTCATTTCATCTTTTTTTTCTAAATGACAAATGCTAATGGAGTGAACCAAAAGTATAGTCCCAAATTGCTGTTTCATATTTAGGGCACACTGAATGGTTCTTTTCCAATTCTTCCTGACAAATACGACACGAACACAAAGTGACATGGAAAAGCTGTAATCTATTGAGCCTGGTAAGTGTGAGTTGTAAGTAATTGCGTTTCCTTCTTAGTCCCATTTGCTGCTCAACCATTTCTCATTATATGATCCCTTCAAGTCAACCTGATTCAGGAGCAGATCAATACTAGGGAAACCCTTTTGTCTTCTTTTAGGGCATAAAATTTAAAAGATGTTTAAGTCAATATTCCTTTTAATAATGTGTCTTACGGAAATGCCCGGGTTCCCTCTTCTTGTTATATAATTAATTGAGCTGCCTGCCACCCACAAGGTATAGTCATTCCCTCCCATAATTCTCCGTTGGCCTAATTGCCATTCTGTTTTCAGTTCTATTTGTCTTTAGATATTTCTTTTCTCCCCAGTAGTGTTGGGCATGCTTTGTACTTAGTTTTATCTTTCTGTGCTTTTGCTTCTAAATGTCAGCATAATTTTTCTGCCTTATAATATTGGAGATGTCATAACCATCCATCAGCCCAATAGAAGAGCAGAAAAGATTAGATATCATTTATCTGTATTGGTTGTTCATTGTAATGACCCAGTGGACAACATGAACAGATAATCTGTTGCTTTGATGAAAACTAATTATTCTTAAGCATGACAGCATCGAAATAGCTTTTGTGGCATTGTTTTTAAAAATGACGGCTACCTAGTCATTATTAGTGTAAGCAGACGTTCACTGCTGGTGTCTGATGATTTCCTTACTTAAGCAACACAACAGTTTGGATCTTTTATTACCGCTTTATGGGAAAAATTGAACTAAAATGTAAGAAATTTAAAATTTCAACTGACATTCAAATATAAGGACTATCCAATAATATTTCTTATTGTGAAATAATTTATTGTTTCCTCAAGAAAAGTAAAAGTACAATTAGCAGATAATTTTTCCAGGAGAGGTTAATATAGCTTGATTTATTTTTTTTATAGCTTGATTTTTATTTTGTTGCTGGTGATGGAACAAATCATGGGGTTTGGAAGATAGAGTTAGAATTCATTTCTGATGGAATTTCTTAAGTGAAAAGCATGGTTCTGTGATTAATTCTTAAAATAATATAATTTATCTGCACAGATAGGAAGTTTTATTTTCTGTGTATTTATGTGTAAACTGAAAAACCACAGTATATTGGCATATTGCTGTGTTTATATATTGTTCCTTAAAATGCTTTTGAAACATAATCAATACTCTATGACAGTATTTGTATTACCAGTACCACTAATATCCAAATCGAGATTTGTATATTATTACAGGCCTGTAGTGGAGAAATGCACTTTTACTACAGTGTGCCATGGTTTGAGAACAGAAGCAAATCGAGTAAATGTTTCCCTTTGTTGTAAAAGCTTTAAGCCTTGGGGATGATGACATAAACCATGGCCAATGTATTGAAATGTATCAAATAAGTTTATAATTACACAAGTAACACTGATTGTAAAAATTTATTGCTGTAAAAGCATATGAACAACGATAAAGTAGGTGGAATAGAAATAAAAGCATCCTTTTACCTTCTACTCTTTCTGGTTTCTTCAATTCCTTTCTCTTCCTCAGAGGGTTGCTGAATAATTTCACACATATCGTTCTAGGCTTTTTGCAAGCACGTATGTACAAGCATATGCACACATACACACCCCTTTAGGATTGTGCTATGGATATTTTTTAGACTGCTCTTTACATTGTATTTTTCACCTAAAAATATATTTTGTATATCTTTTCACATATGTATATATAATTCTTAAAAAACTGGTCATACCGATTTTTAACTATTATTTTATCTCATGAAATAATGTTTGCCCTTTCATGTTATCCTCTGTCTTAGGAAGTCTCATTCAGATGCAAATAAACTGGAGGAAAACTTCAGCAGGAGTCTCACTTGTTAAATGGCTGACTTGGGTTAAGCCCTTCTAACCATATCCAAAGAAGGACCTCATCCCATGATTAGAGGGAATGTGAGTCCCTGATTCGGTGCAAGTGCAGTTGGGAAATGTGGCTCTGACACTTGAACAAGTCACCTCTCTAGGCTTCAGTTTTTCCATTGGAAAATGGGAGCAGGGGTGGACTGGGCCAGGTTTGTCCTGCTCCTCTCCAAATATTACGTCCTCTGGTTCCGTTTTCTGAGCTAAATGCTGCATTTTTGCAAAGGGTAATTCTGGGATTAGTTATATTTGTGTGCTCATGACAGACATCCAAAGTTTTAAATATGGGCACTCAGGACTATTTTGACCAATAATGGACATATATACCTTTGTCCTTGAAAACACTGCTTGGGATGTCCTTTGTCATCACCAAGGTGTGATAATGCTAACCAATAGGAAGAGAAAGAAACTGCCTGCCCCTCCTGTGGCCACCTAAGAAAGCTGTACTGGGAGACTTACTTGTTATTATAACTTGTAATTACAGCCTGTTAAAGATGATTCTTGATATCCCTCCACTATCATTAGAAACCTGTTAGTTGACTTTAGAATTTACACTGTGCAGATGATGCTTATCAACAGGTGTTGCTGGACCACATTTACTTTAGAAAGATGTGTTCAAACACCGTAAAAATATTAACAACAGCAGCTAACATTAATGAGCACTTACTATGTGGTAGTAAGTGTTCAAAGTACTTTGAAAGTCACCCACTGCAACCCTCTCAAATAGTTTACAGATGGGGAAATAGAGACTCAGAAAGGATAAGTCATCTATCCAAAGGCAGAAAGTTGCAACTTTGTGCATGATACAACTAGGATGCAAATTTCTTCTCAAGGGAAGAAATTCAGGATTTAACTGACTAATTACATAGTTCTAAACTGATTAAAAATTTAAACTGAAGGTGGTGACAGATCTGGCCACGCGCAGATGGTGAGTGCTGGTGCTTCTCCCTTCTTGTGACGACACTGTAAAGACTGTTGACTTGAAAGCGGTCGCCTGTTTCTCATGCACACTCATGGTGCTGTCTATTGTCGTGAGTTCTTTAAAAAATATATAAACAAAGCAATTCCTTAATGTTCTCTCTGTGGCTATAGATCATTCACACTGACTTTTGCAAAGCTCCTGCCCTAGTAGACAAGCCCTAGTGTTGGAATCTGCAAAGTTGATGATTAGCCGAAACAGTCTGGACTGCAGCCACAGGACATCTTGTAGCACAATCAAGCACCACTTCATCATGCCTGGTGACAGGAGTTTCCCTGCTAAGTTTCCATCAGGAGCAAGGAGCCAGGGCACTGCTCAGCAGCTAATTAGACAAGGCAACATACAAGGCTGGTACATGCCAACTTCAATAGGCTGGAGTGGTGGATCTGTCAAATGAATCTGTCTTGCCCTCTCTCTTTATATCCATGACTGTACCTGGTTGAACATTAACACTCGGAAATCTGCTGATTTTCTCCAATATCCTGGCCCATGCAGAGAAGGAGTTGAAAAGGAACTGGATGTCTTTAAGGTAGTCCCATGCTTCATTATCCTGAAAAGCATCAATCTTCAACTCATTGTTAAGGAAGCATCACAAGATGTGGAAATGTTGAGAGGATGGGTGGAAATGCAGTGTATGGACTTTTTAGTGTCTCTGCGACCATTTCCTCTCTTTCCTGTGATATTGGTTTTGAAAAAAGTCAAAGACTTAAAAAAATGAAGAAAAAAGTTTGCCAGTTGAGACAAAAGCCAAGAAATTGTGAGTGTTCCCCTCTCTCTCTTGCTTCTGTACGTCCTGAAAGATTAAGGTTAAAAAGAAATCTTAGAGTTGTGTGTGTGTTTTTAAACAACTTGTCAAAATATAAAGGCAGATACTCCAAAAAGAATGTAAACAAATATCTGGAACGTAAAGGTAATATCAACAAATACTTAAACATGCAGCAGCAGGAGCAGCAATGACAACCAAAAGCCAAATATTGTATATCGGGTTGGGATATAATCCTGACCACTTAAACCATTAACCCTATACAGTATATCAGTCTTAAAGATGTCAATTCCGTGTGTGGATGTGTTTTCATCAGCAAACCTTGCCAGCCTCTACTGGCTGTGGCAGCAGAAGCAGATGTTGTTGAAACCAGGAGACTTGCAAGTCCATCTTGTTCAATTTGCTCACTTCACAGGTGAGAAAACCACAGGTGACCCATCCATGAGAATGTTGGTGGCATGGACAGACCCACTGCCACTGCTCTTTTCTGCTGGGGGCCCACTGCTTTTTCTATGACACCCTGCTGCCTGTCATTTGATGGGAATTTGGGGGTAGGGGTTCTTTTCAGATGTGGAGATCCTGGGGGTCAAATCTGCCTCAGAACCCTGAAGGCTGGAAACTGTGACTACAAGGGACTACTCCAGCTTTCCACTTTGTCTACCGATAGAAAATATTTCCTTGTGTATTTCGGAGAGTGAGGTACTGTCATCTTCTGATTGAGTAACTTCATGGAAAAAATGTATTCAGTGGTGAGTCATGGCGTGCTGTGTTAATTTGTAGACTGCTCTTTCTGCGTAGCACAGTGGACCCTGCTGATCACAGAATGAACAGTGTGGCTCAAGAGGAGGCCCTGATTTATGAGCGAACACTAATAATAACAATAAAATAATGAAAATAATGTTCTGCCGTTGTCTTCGGAGCTATGGAGCTATGTGGTATGCCGTCTGAGGGTAGACCCCCAAATCTATGAGTGTGACTGACAAAGGATAGGCTTCTTATGGCTTGTATTTAACGTGGTCAATAAATCTTCCAGTCCCATGGTAGTGTCATAGAATTGCTAATAGTTAATAACAATTGCTAATAACATACTGAATGGCAAAATTGGAATCCTGGGTGTAGGTTTCTAGATCGTCCGCAAACACTGAATCTCTTTGAGCCTCCGTTCCTTCAGATGTAAAAATGAATGGATTAAAGTGAGCTTATGTCTAAGGGCATGTTGACGTCTAACGTTGAATGATTCTCTGATTTTAACAGTTTCAGTATTACTGCTATGAAATATTCTTTACTTGCACTTGAAAATTTTTTTGAAAGATTTTATTTATTCATGAGAGACACACAAACACAGAGAGGCAGAGACATAGGCAGAGGGAGAAGCAGGGTCCTTGCAGGGAGCCCCATGTGGGACTCAGTCCTGAACCCCAGGATCACGACTTGAGCCGAAGGCAGACATTCAACCGCTGAGCTATGCAGGCATCCCTCTTTGCTCTCATTTTTTAGTTGATTTGTTCAACTGGGGTTCAACTTACTGCAGGCTAACTGGTGCTACTTCATCTGGTGTCCATAGAGGTGACTCCTCAAAAAGACAGAGAATTTTTTTTTTAATAGAAAAGTGTATTCATGGTAGGAGATCATACATAGATAAGAGCTTGTCAGTTTTCATAACTGAGAAAAAGATATCTGAAAATATATATTAGGCGTTAACTTCATAGAGGAAGCATAGAAGCAAACAAACTCTATCTTTGCTTATCCTAAAGTTTTGTGCTGAATTTAGATTTGCCAGAAGTGAGGACTGGTTGTGGAGGACTGGGCCTGAAGGCTGAAGGCTGAGTGGGTGAGATGGGGAGGTGTGGAAAAGAAAATCTAAGGGACAAACCTAACTGATCTTGACACCTGAAGGCAGAGCTTGTGCACAAGTTTTTTGTTTTATTTTCTTTGTTTCTTTGCTTTTCAGCCCACACAGTGTTACTTGGATCAGTGTTTCTAAAACAAACAAATAAACAAACAAACAAAAACAACAACTAAAACCAACCAAACAACAGCAACAGAACTAGACTGAGTTGCCAACATGGGAGAAGTTCAGATTTCTGGCTTTCTCGAAACATCAGACAGTTTGGCAGCCTTGGGTCCTAAACCCCAACATGTCAGCAAGTGGCTGGAGGTGCATGGTGTTTACCAGTTTTAGATGGGCTTATTGCGCTCCCATTTTCCACAGTCCCCACCGCTCCCTCCTACCATCATCGAGGCCTAGCGTCAGTTGCCATTTATTAGCACCCTTGGAATGTTACTCTCATGTAGCAGAGTGCAGTTAAAATCTCTTTCTTCTATCCATGTCTCCATTAAAAGTGGGAAAATAAAACCAGACTGAGCGGGTTGTGTGCTTCTTATACCCAGTCTACTTTATGCATTGATGTTATATGTCTTTCTCTTGCAAATAACTGAATTTTCAAGCCCTGTCCTAATGCCAGCTCTGTTCTTGACCTCAACAGCCAAGAAAAATAATCTAGCTAAACTAGAGAAGCACAACGTGTAAAATATTAGCCCAAATCCTCTCCCTACCTCATTATATGTTCCTTTTGATTGTTATTCTTTAACCAGTTTGAAACAATCAGGGCTGGAATTTTGAGGGTCTTCCCTATTTTGTAGCTGGGGCTAAGGGAGAAAGTACAGGGATGGCACAGGTAAGACACAGAGGTGGGAGTGGAGCTTATTCCTCTGGCCTCTCTTGCCTACAAGCCAACTCACCAAGGATGCCAAGGAATGCCCTTGTGGTGAATTTACCAGAACAGCTCCTGTCTACAAGTCAGCTAACTCTAATTATTTGTGGTTCCCTGTTTAACCTGCATATCTCCCCATA